TACAACTCGTAATGTACCGGCAACAATGACCGTTTTCATTCCTTTCGTATTTTCTTTTTTTTTGGCAGCGTCTCTACCGGTTGGAAACTTGTCGTGCACGCTTAATCAATACATGATACCGTGAGGCCTGCATGAAATGAAGAACTGTATCAGCTGCTCTAAAAGAGCACCGTGTTCAAATTATATACTGTCCACTGAAAACGCAAAAAAAAAAGAAAACTTCAGCATTTTTACAAAAATCAACTTGGCTCTAAAGATTAACTCGTATATATCTTAAAATGAAGACTTTAGTTACAGACAGTTTAAGAAACGCAGGGTGGGGTCACTCCCAAATATACCTTATCGTCCCTGCACAGCCAATGAGACCTTGGCACTGGCTGATAACAACGCTGAGAAATCAAACACGAGTCAAGACGCAAAAAAAAAAAAAATAGGTAGCCACGCCCTACATTTAGTAAGTTGTCTGTGACTCTAGCGCTGTGTACGAGTGCGTAAAGTGTAGCTACTATTTCTCAGGCGCGTTAAAACTTATGTTGACTGTCACTGATCGAGCTGACTTCAATCTTGTAGACGTTTCTCGAAAAACATTGATCGTTTACAGTTACAAAGAATACACGGTAATAATCTCTGAAGAAGGGGAACAAGGGCTACAAAAGACAAATACAAACCTCCAAACTCAGCTACGTGACTGTTGCGCCACCAAAAAAAAAACCCTGGTCCTGGTATCGAACCAGGGTTCTCTCCATTTCCAGGGGAGCGTTTTACAAACTGAGCTAACCAAGAGTTATACGTCGGTAGAGCCAACGGGTTCTAACAGCTGCCACCAGTCTAACGCCAACAAGAGTGAACGGCGCGCATTTTAAGATAATGATGATAATGCAATTAATCGCTCACTAGTCACCTATAGCTGTGTTTGGAGATTTGTGTTTGTCCTTTGCCCTCCTCGTTCCCCATCTCCAGGGAATAGTACCGTCATTCTTGTCTAGCTCACTTACAATTACATTTGGTTAAAAAGTATTATATTCCATTACTGGATTACTTAAGAAGAAATGTAATTGACTGTAACTGGAAAAATAACTTACATTTCCGATTGCTTCAGATTTTCAAAAACGACCAATTTTTCTGGCGGTTTGAAAACGAGTCATTTCGCACTGTCGATTATTCGATTACAGCCAGCAAACTATAAACTACTTATCTTTTTAAAGGGGCCCTGCAAGCAATTTTTAGTGGTTTTTAATTTGCACCGAACCTGAACGCACTGAATGTAGTAAGTTGATGAAACTTCTTTTCTTGAATTTCGCTTTATATTCAAAGTTATAGTCAAATTAAAATTACAAAAACGAGCAAAAAATTACCTCCATCATGACGTCCTTGGTTGCTTGAGTGGCCGTGAACTAGTGAGCTCAGTGAGCGCTCGCGGCTGCCGCACTCCGTGTCGACGGCGCGAGGGGGCGCCACTGAAGCATGTTCTGGGTAGGCTGTATAGAACGGGCAGCCAGAACGGCTCTCATTGCATTTGCTGCACGATTAAACACTAATTCGGCATGACACTTTATTGGCCACAAACGACAGCAAACACGGGGTAACGATCAGTTCAGAATGGGAGTCACTTCGCGCTGCCGTACCGCGAAACGGCCAAATCGCAAGACAAAGCTGCTCGCTGAAGGCCTTCGGAACGCTCGGAGCCGGTCGGATCCTCCAGTCCGTAAACGACGGCAGCGCCGCCGCGTACATCCGGGACCTTTCCGTGTCGGCGCCTGATCCCACTACTCCTTTCTAGTATGCGCCGCCTTTTCCACCGCTTGGTGGCGGGTATGTCGACGGGTCATTTCTTGTTTCCGTACTTTATAACCTGCATTTGTTTCTTTTCTGATTTAAAATACGGAACAAAAACTACTTTTATAAATAATGGACATTTTTCATAGTTCGACCACGATCGTGGCGCGCCCTCGCGGGAATCGCTCAAAACACTTTTGGTGGCTCTGGCACCCTCCCTCCGTCGTCCGCGCAAGGCCTGGCGTGCCTCCCGGTCCGTGTTTACGTGTCTTCTCTGGTGGCGTTGTTCCGTCTTTCCTCATTCTGAACGTGTCTTTCTGTCTTCGTTTGGCGTGCATATATTTTTCTTCGAAATGGCTGAGGACGATCTGGAGGATTAACAAAAGCTACTGTCCACGATACAGAGGACTTCGTTCGTCTTTATACCTTCAAGGGTGCATAGACATCCGACGCTGCGTCAGTTCATACCATCGACTCGGAGCCACTTAATCGTCACTTCGGTATCACGTCAAGCAATTGGCTACTAAGCGAGGGGTCTGCTTTCAAGGCAGAGTCACAGAGTGTTATGTAAAGAAAGTAATGGGGACCAGTTTCGATACCGACCCAACCATCTACCCTGTGCAGAGCTTGTGAGCTCCGATTATAAGGCCCGGCCACTACAAGCAGCTGATTTTTCTCCCCTCGATCGCTTAAAGGGATACTGAACCGAAATTTGGATTTCGCAAAGTAAGGCTGGAGAAGTGTTGAACGGGACGCTACGAACTCCAAAACATCACTCGTACATCGATATCTCAAACGGATGGCCGTACTTTTGGAAAAGAAGGGCGCGATCAAGCGAGTTCTTTGACGTAACTGTCCTCCGGAAGAATTTGAGAATGAGGAGAAGCGGCCTCGCTTCTCTCCTCCTCGCTTCGGTTCACCAGCTTGACGGGACGTAGCGAGGAGGAGAGAGAATGGGAATCGTGACGTGCCTTGTCTCGTCGGCCGGGTTCAATCGCGCACTCCTTTCCCGAAAAATACGGCCATCCGTTAGATATATCGCCGTATGAGTGATATTTTTTGGTTTTGCCGCTTCCGACTATCCGCCCGGCCTTGTTTAATTAGCTCGAAATTTCGGTTCAGTATCCCTTTAAGTTATTCGAGCTTATTGCGTCCGTCACTTCGCCGTCCTGTGTACCACGCGAACGCACGAGCATCACCGTATTCGGGAATGTGTAAACAAACTCGGGCGGTGTCAAATCCGGGTGGTCCTGATATCGCGAAGGCTCGCCTGCACCAACAAAAAGAAAGGAACGGTATGTTAGAAACAACCTCTCTTTAAAATCAGCACGTTTACGAACCTTTGACAAAGTGAGCACGGCAAACAAAGGAGTTCACGTTTGGTTGCCAAGGCATTACATCAGGGTTCTGTCTCCGTAAGGCTTAAATTTGTTTCGCACGCTTTAAATGTTTTGCCAGCGACTGTTATTTTTATGTGGTTTTTCTTCTCTTTTAGCATGGCAAGACGCGAATGTCTATAGCGCACGCCTGAAGAACGGAAAGATTTATCATGTTATTCTTTACTTGAGTACCATGTACGGCTTGATTACGTCACACAACCTCGCGTGCGCATTTACTATTAACGGACAAATAGTCAGAGTGTTGACGATCGAGCTGGTGTAAGTTGAACATTGTGGTAAACTTGATATACGAATACATGATAGAACATCGAGGACAGGGACGGAAACAGGACTTTTTTTAAGAAGTCCTGTGTCCTTGATTTTTCATCCTTTCGTGCATTCGTATCTATTCACCAACACGCTCATTTTCAAGCACTAAACCTGAGACTGGTGTAGGAAAAGGAAAACGCAAAAAAAGTACAGGCATCGTCTCAAGAGACGTTGCCTGTTCTTTTTCTGTCTTCTTTTGCGTTTTCGTTTTCGTACCCCAGTTTCCGGTTTACCATCATGTTCAGATTTACTGTATTTCAGTTAAAATCAGAATGTCGCGCCGTCACATGGATGACCCAGCCAGCTGACACGGGGGATTCGCGTCCTATAGGCTTTTGAAAGCAGGGCAAAAAGGGCGGGGTGTTTGACATCGAGTCTTTTTGTGCACCACACACAAAGGCTGCTGAAACTCCATAAAGACTTCTACTTGAATCATTTTTGCTTTTATTTGTCCAACCTACAGCTGCGCGGTGGTGAGGCGCGACGACTATGAAGCCAAGCCGCAAGAATAGCGGAGGAGTCCAGTCGAACTAGCACTGTCGGTGCGACCGAGCGGACGAGAGAGCCACCAAAAATGGCGCCTTTCCCTTTCTTCCCCCATCTCTCAGAGTCGGCGCATGCGCCCAGCGATCTCTGAAAAAGGTCAATTGAAACGGTTCGCGCCGCTTACATTTGGTATTTCGACTAAACAGAAGTTTTTAGCGGCTCTAACCAGTAGTAAGGCCAGGACCAAAGACGTCACATATCGCGCGCTTTCGGTACCGCGGGTCGCCCCCGTCGGTGGATGAGGTTTCCGCGTCGTCCGGTTAAAATATGATGCACTGATATTTAGTTACTCTCTCCGTGCCCACTGGCTTGCCCAAACCCCAAGAGACGTGGAAACCGCAAAAGGGGTAGACGCTTAAATATGATTGCAGAGATCCTTTAATCCACCAAATTTGGTCAACTTTCCTTATGTCGGTTGACTTGGTTTGGAGATTCCTTCGTAGGAAACTTGCACAAAACAAGAAGGCCACCACCAGAAAGAAAAGAGAAAAATAGTAGCCGTTCCGAGAAATGTAACCCTTCCAAGAGTTATCGTATTATTATTGTGATTGCTTCTTAATATAAATGTAATCAAATGAATACGAAGTTACTCTACAATCTAAACGACTACAAGTAATGTGATTTACTCTAATAAGTGCCTTACAAGTTTGGTTGCTTCTCCACAGGGGATCCAATGAGGTGATAACTCCGAAGACGGACATTTGAATTGCAAACTATGGCAACTGTGTTTTTTTTTTCCATCGAACTGTTTGTTGCAGACTCAATTTTTTTAACTATTATTTGATACTGTAACTTTTACTGAATGCTGGTAGGTAATGTTAATGAGTTACGTATGCTTCATCCTTACAGGGTTATCTTTTTTTTAATTTAAAACGTTTCACTCGTACCCACGCAATACTTCAATGGGCTTCTAGACGTATAAGCTCTCGCAAGAATTGTACCGTGTTATAATTCAAATTTTATGTTTAGGTTGGCAGGTGATGCTGGAAACACCAAACGAACTGGAAGCCATCTTGGAACGACGCAAACGACTGGAAAAATGCCTTGGAAGAATTTTCATCGGCTAAAGCGGATTTTGCGTCAGTATATAAAAATAAACAAAATATAAATAGTCGACAAAGAAGTCTATCTCGTATTGTATTGATTCTAATATTGTATTGATAAACAATACCATTTTCAGCAGAAGTCGCTGTAGTTGATGTCAGTAGAAAAAAAATTGATTGTTTGGTTAAGGAACAGGAAAGTTGTACATTCACCTTTTTGATTGTAACTATAAGTCGTATCCTTTTCGCCCGTTAAAATATGTTACACTCATCTTTGTAAATTCGATTTTTGATCTTTACCCCGTTCCCCGGATAAAATATCAGCTACATTTGCCTTTGTGAATCACTGCAATTTCTAATATCTCCAGAAAACATCGAGGATATAATGGGGCACTTGTCTAGAACGTGTCGCGCTGCAAACAGTAGCATTTTCTGGAGAAGCAAGGCTGTTTGCAACCAAGAAATGCAATAGCAGTAGCAACTATACCAAAAACAAAATGCCAATTTTAAATGGTTGTTTTAGCCTACCTTCGTTTCATTTTGATTTCTTGTTAGTGCTGCATATGTAAGGCAAACTTGTTTACAGTCTTTGTAAGCCAAATAGTTTGGAAACGTCCTCATTGTTAGCTGTTCCGAGCATAGAGTGGTACAATGCAACATCAATCCAGTTCTTATTTGTGGGTCTGGATGAAGATACAAAGCGCTGGGTAATAGATTATTTTTGTAATAGGTGACTATATTCAGGCAATAAATTTACATCACTATACCCAAAACAAAATTACTCGTCTCAACATTAGACTGATTTTCAACCTTAGAATGGCGACTGGCGGGACCATATGAGTAATATTCAATGCGTAGTCCTCGCTTCCACCTCATACATTGAAAAGGTTAAGTACTGGCAACTTCCGTAAAATATTTTATCTAGGGTGGGGTAAAATGAGACGTGGGGTAAAATGCGACAGTTGGTGTTTTAGCGCCATCCATCTCCTATACTGGCAAACGGAGTACGTTCAAACTTCACCGAAAGGTGCCATGGCCTCTACACTTTTTTTGCGTGTGCAAACAATCAAGGCTGTCGGCAACAGTGCTGCGGAGAAGCGAAATGCGGAGTTGAGGTTGAAGTGTTTACCCCCCGCAAAAAAGCGCAAAAGTCAGAGCGAGGTTTCGCTTCAAGACGTGCACTCCGGTTGACACCGACTATTCTGCCATGGTAGGCTCTAATTTTATTGATATGCTTTATTCGCTCCCTGCGGACCAAATTTGAACTATACGCTTCTCAAAAAAAAAAAAGGATGCATAAAAGTACGAACCACCATCGTTCATTCCCACGACCCTAGTGCCCTCTATTCAGAAGTGGTAACTCGAGCAGTTCGGCACTCGGACATTTCGTTGCTCCCGCTGGAGTTGCTTTCTTAATAAATACTTTGCAAAACAAGATTTTAGTCCCGGGATTCAGAAATTGTGACAACCCGCGCATATTTTGTGAATGTTTCCGTCCGCAAAAAAACATAAAACGGATTCCGAGCGACGCAGATGCGCTGGTAACGAGGCTCCACCCTCCAACGACCGCTTCCGCCCCTCCGGAGCGGTGACGGCCTCGCCGAAGGGAAGGTGAGTATTGATTGCTTTTTTTACTTGTATAGCAGCAGGAACGTTATAGGTGCATCAGATTGTGCTTCATAAAGCCGCACGATTGCTCTGCCTGTACGATAGGCGCTCGCTGTCCGACGCGGTCGGGCGCCTACTGGCCCGTGTCAGCGTGAATGGAAGAACTAGGCCTACCACTTCAAAACTATGCCCGGTGGCAATCAGTTCATCAAACAAACGATGTTTCATGAGCAGATCGTTTCGTCGACTCAGCAACGTTTTAATGCGAGGTAGTTTCATCGAAAAGTTTCCGTGTTCGCTACATCGACAAACCTTGCGACGTTTTCATCAAAAGCCCCTTTCCGCGCATATCGTCTCGGTCGTCGGCGTCAGGGTGCCGGCAACCGAGGCGATATATGAGCTTGCCGAAACGAGCTTCCCGAAACCTTGGCGGTCCTATGAGGCCTGCTGCGAGTTCGCGTCTCAAGATTAAAGTTTCACCCTAACGCTCTAAGGCGCGAGGGATGCTCGTATCCGCTTTGCGTAAATAAACATATCATCAATCAATGTTAAAAATTCCCCAAGAGGAGCGAGGAGTTTTAGCGCGTAGTGCAAACTGTTTAAAAGCGGCGCTGGCGAATTCTCTTTTGGCCAATCAGAGCCGCTTCGGCAAGTCCGCTTTAGCTCAGGTACGCTTCCAGGGAACTCACTAATGCAATCCTCCTAATACAAAATAAAAAAAAGAGAAAAACTACGAAACGTTGCAGGAGCATGTGTCCGCAAAATGTGGCAGTGCTGCGAAGCACGAGGTCGTGCTCGCGCGCGTTAAATTAAGCATATGTTGTGTAATTTTGTATGTTTTTGCCGTCTTCGGGGGTTCGAGTATCTTTACGGCACGGCTCGTGCCCCCTCCCGGGGTCGATGGGCCCCAAGTGGAGGCGCGAACGTGAACGTTGTAACCTTACACATGTTTATATAGAGCTCCGCATATAACTTCTTCGCCTACAAAGGTGCTTTGCATTATTTTAGCTGCCCTTGACAGCTTCGTTCGGAATGTGTACCGTTTTATGTACGCGAATTATGCCGTTGATGGCACGTCCCATCCCGTGTTGCCGACCTTTCGGGGTTGTACCGGGAATCGGTTATCGTGAGCACGAGAGGTATGCTAAGGACTTGTGCGTGCGTTTGTAGAAATCGATGATTGGAATGTTTACAGAGTCAGCGTCGGAGGGCCGTTTTGTTTCGGATAGCGCCAACTCATCTCATTTATTACTTTGCTTGTCGGGATATGTATAGCCGTACCACGGAGACGAGGATGCGTGTTAGAGGGAGAGAGTGAAAGAGAGCTAAATGGTAGAGGCCATGGAGTTTTGAGAACTAGCGAACTTTAACTATGTTGAAATGTTTGTGTATAATACCTGTATATTAAACCAAGTTATTCAACCCCAAAAAATCTACGATCCCGACATCACTAAAACCCAAGAGGAGAGACCCTTGACTGGCAATCGGTGGCAACGACGTCAGCACAGACCCGAAGGCAACGAGCGACTTTACGTCACGAGACGATACGAGAAGAATATAAACGTTACAGCATAACTTTATACTTTTACTTCCCCCAAGGTTTTTAGAGTGTCTATCGGCGTATGCTGGTCGGCTCTGCGGCACTGTTTATAGTTTCAACCATGGTCGGGGCTCACCAAACTTGAAGGAACTTGAATGCTGTAGCGATACACTTTTTAATAGAGCCCCGCGCCGGAGGTGCTTTGTTTTGTAACGCTTTTGGTTTTCAGATCTTCACTTCGAAGTTTGGTTTCGCCCTGTGCATAACTTCTGTTGTGCTCGTGGCTTTGAATTTGTTTGGAATTGTTCAAAGCGGCTCTTTTGATTTGCGTTAAAAAGGTTCTTTGCCTTTTGTATGCTGTTTTTCGTATGGTGGCTGTGTTTGCTTTGGGCTCTGAGCCTTTCCATTCGTGCTAAGGTTCTATTGCCTCTAAAATGCTTGAAGTTTGTTTTTACCTTTCGAATCCGACATGTCTCTTTATTAAATTTCAACCACTGTTCCTCTCTGCATAAAGCAAAAAAACCTTTTTTTTTTAATAGTGAAGCCGCCTAACTAAAACTTTGAATCTAGGGCGGGACATCAAATTTTGTGTTGCTCAGTATCAGGTGACTATACTGTCTTGCTTTTTGGACCTCATTATTCATGATATGAAAGGCCATTAGACAAAACTTTGTGACGTGCGTCGTCCACTCTCTATGTTTACTGTCTAGTGAAGGGGAAGGGTTTTGCATACGGCGTACCTTTTTTGCCATGTTTGTCATGGTCGCAACTGCGCAGTTCACTCTCAGTGAATGCACTTATGGATAGACCTCAAAATATTTTACAGAGGCATTGTATGAATATCATTTCATTAAACATAATGATACAAAATAATTTCCGGCTAATTAATATATGCAATCACTCCTAAAGATATAGTCGATATGAATCATATTTCGTGATGCCATGTGAAAGAACCGTGTGGTATGTGCATTTTTTTATGTAGAATGCACAGAACAATTTGATCTTTCGTCAAAATATTCTGCCAAACTTTCCGTGTCAGATGTCAAATAAATGGCATTATTTCGTTCCATGTTTCTAAAATCGATTTCTAGTTATGAATGTTTTAATTCAATTAATGTGACGTTCAACAGCAGGCCATATTTTTTGTGTATAAGTGCATAAGCTAAGGGAGATTGTCTTGAAGCGCTGGACATTTTAATGTCCACCAGTAAACTACTCAGTGCTAAGGTTTTTATTCATGTGGGCTTTTCATAATGTATAATACAATTGTGGGTAGTATGTGCGCATATCAACAAGCAACTAACAATTATTGATCTGTTCAAAAATATTTAGAACCCATGAGACATTTGTATTCTTATTTCAATAGGTGTGAACGATGTACCTTCGAGCAAGTCAGACAAGCCCTTTAACAAACTTTATGCAAGAGCGGCGAAACCTCCATAATTCGTTTTGCGCTCGTGGCCATTCTTTATAAAAAGATTTGCATTTTTTTTGTATAGTATAGCTAGGTTAAAGCTAAAGCATAAGTTTTTTTTCGTTGTTTCTAGGACTGACTCTTGTTAATATGCAATGTTGAAGAAGATTGACCTATTTTGATGATTTTGCTTTTGGCAGTCAAAAGCATCGACGTCTGCTTTGAAGACAAGTACGGCCGCATCCCCAACGTGGGAAAAAATAGTTCCTGAATTAAAGAGGGTCCATATGGAGGTTGAAACAAGCCAAATATTTCGTGCTGAAAAAAGATTTACCTGCAAAAACCCTTCGCCATTGGATATTTTTAAGTGTATTGACCTTTTGAGTCTAAATATCAGGTTATGAGTTACTCCTAAACACAAAAGCCACCTGTGATGTCCAGTGGCGTCGCCAGGAGGAAGGC